GAGCCTAGGATGGTGATGTCTCGCTGTTGGGTTTGCTTAACCCTGGGCAGCGTGTGGTGCTATTCCAGCCCTGCAGCAGGTGGGCTAGCTGCTTGGGCGAGGAGCACATTCCCTGTGGCATTCAGAACTGGCCTCCCCACGTGGCTTGGCGGGGCGGCACAGGGTGGCCATTGCATGCCACACGGGGCTCGAGGGGCTGGCGGGCAGCTGATGCTGGCTTGGTGCTCTGGGGAGCAGGGGGATCATATTCTCCTGGGCAGGGAAGATGGTCCCTCTGGCTGTCGGCATGCTCTCGGGGCAATCGGGGCAGTGGGCATGGCAGAGAGGAAGGGTGCTGGCCTGGCCTTCCCTGTGGCAGGCCCAGGAAAAAGCCGCTCAGCCTTGCCTCTGCTGGGACCAGCAGTGGCAGCTTCCCTCCGATCGGGCACTTGGGGGCAGCTGTCATCTCCATTCCCTCCCTTTGGGTTCCCGCATGTGTCCTCTGGGAACCACCAGGAGGACTGGGCAGGGATAAGTGGGCCAGAGAGGGCTGGGGGCACAGAGAGCCATTGGCCCACCGAGCTGCTCAGCCTTAACTCTGGACTGGAGTACACGCCTCACTTGCAGAAGGGCCCAGGTGTAGGCTCCGGCATCCCCATTCTTTGAAAAAGGTTCGGGTACCAGGTGATGGGCATGTCCTTTGCTGGAGAGCTGGGCAAATGCTTTCGATCAGGACTAAGATAACTTACGCTGCCCACAAACGGTGTTAGAAATGCCTCTCCGTTTTCAAAGAGTCTTGGCATTCCAGGCCAGCGTCAAGCCCCGCGGCCTCTTAGCATGGTGCCCAGCAATGACCCTCTTGGGATGGGAGCTGAATGGCGGCTGCGCTCGGATCCACATGATGCAGCCACCTGGGTTCATGAGACAAAATGCAACCCGAAAAGCGCTGCAAATGAGTAGCACATTCGGGAGGAGGGAAGGCTGGTCTCTTGGGCATTGCCAAGAAAAGAATCGCATCACCAAAAGGGGGGCACATGAAGGCACGAACTTGCATACGGAAACCAATATGGATCAGTGCAGATTAAGAATGCATTCATCTATTATTTAAATTTTTATATACCACCCATTCCCATAGGCTCTGGGTGGTTTACAAGAAACTAAAAACAACAATGAGTAAAATTTGACTAAGAACAAACTCATGAAATAAAACTGAGCTGAGGACTAATCTGAGAAGACCTGTTGGAAGAGATGCGTCTTTAGCTCCCTCTTGAAGGTGGCAATCTGGAATAGCTGATGCATCTTTCCCAACAGACCAGTTTAGGGGCAACCACTGAGAAAGTCCTCCAGGTAGTTGATGTTAATCTTACAGAAGCACACTTCCAAAGATTTGGATTTGGAAACACTGCCTTATGAGGAGACACTGAGAAAGCTGGGCATGTTCAGCCTTGAGAAGAGAAGACTGAGAGGGGACATGATATCCCTGTATAAGACCCTCAAAGGCTGTCCCAAAGGGGAAGGTCAAGATCGCTTCTTGCTGATGCCGGAGTATAAGACACAGAGTAATCAAATCAAGCTGTGACAATCCAGATTCAGGCTGGGCATCAGGAAAAGTGTCCTCACTGTCAGAGCAACACAACAGTGGGACCAGCTGCCTGGAGAGGTGGTGGGCTCTCCCACACTGGAGACATTCAAAAAGAGGCTGGACGGCCATCTGAGTGGGATGGTGTGACTTGGTGTCCTGCAACAGCAGGAGGCTGGACTCGATGGCCTTCATGGCCCCTTCCAGCTCTACTATTCTATACGATTCTACGAAGATTACCCCCAGAGGACCTTAGCCAGTATATGGGCAAAGGTGCTATCTATTATTTAAATAGAAGTACTGGACGTCACCCACAGCAGATAAGGAGAACAACCAGCAGAGCTATCTGGGGATGGGCAGCTCTGTGCCAGCTCTCCAAAATCAGATTGTCGTCCGTAAAGTCGGACACCTGGCGCCTCTGGAGAAAAGGGGAGTGTCTGTGGTGCCTGTACCAGGCTCCACGTTGCAGCAGGTGCAGCAAAGCTTGCACTTGGCTGCACCTGCCTTAACGGCTTGGGATCTGGATACCTAAAGGAGCGGCTTCTTCCATATTTGCCCCCCCCGCCCCTGAGATCAGCAGCAGAGGCCCTCCTCTGGGAACCCTCCGTGAAAGATATTAGGAGGCAAAGTACCTGGAGGAGGGCCTTCTCTGTGGTGGCTCTCTGCCTAAGGAATGCACTCCCCAGAGAGGGCCACCTGGCGCCATCGTTATTTGTTTTTCGGCGCCAGGCTAAGACCTTTTTATTTCAACAATATTTTAATAACTTTTAATATCAGTTGATAGGTTTTAATATGCAGCCAGGGTGGATCTGGATTTTATCTGTGTTATGTTTTGTTTTATTTATGAAAGCTGTCCCGAGGCTATGCGATGGGACAGCATACAAATGCTCTAAATAAGTAATAAAATGAAACAAATTGGGTGAGTTGGTGCCCCTGCGACCAGGCCCTCTCGCCATGCATGGCTCCCATCAGCTGCCCCAGGAGGCTGAGTGTCGGCACGGAGCTTCATGGGAGAAGCTCCGCTCAAATGCTGGCTGGATTTCTAAAGCTCATCACACCAGTGCCCGAATGCAGCCAGTGCAGATTTTGCCTTGGTGTTCTCAGGTTACACTCCCGCAGCCGAAAAAGCGGAGGAACCCGCCTGGCTTGTGCAAAGGCAAGTTTGCTGCAGTGAATGGATGGCTGGGCAGAAAGTGGTTGTCACAACAACCAAGTCCCAACACACCGGGAGCTCATGCCGAACGCCACTGGGAACACGCTCCGTCGCCTCCACTAGCTCTAGAGAAAGATTTGTGCTTTTGAAGAACTTCTCCACACATTTCACCAGCATATTGTGGAAAAGATTTGGATAGACCTACCCTGGTGCCTTTGATCCCGCTTGAGATGTCGGATGGCGCATGCAATTTTGATGCCTGCATCAGCTGGTATGTATTTTTGCTACGATAACGTTAGCCGAGAATTTAAGGCTGCAGTCCAAAATGGATGGACTGGGAGTATGCCTCACCGAATGGAGGCATCTGACTGAGCTGTCAGCGCTTCCCTCTTCATTCTGTAGAGTGACATCCTGTTACAGGATAGGTCACATCTTCTGTTTAAATGCTACAGTTTGGTGCAGGGTGTGTTAATCGTTCAGGCATTCTTATTTAGCTAACCATGCATTTAACTAAAGGGGACACTTGTATTTCCCCTTTTCTTGCAGTATGGCTCATACAGAATTCCCACCGTTAGAACAGAGAGACCCTTATCTTGCTTCCCCTTTGAGTATGAGTATAGCCGGAAGTAGGCAAATATCTGGTTGCCAAGTTTTCCACCAGGCTTTGAAACTCTCTTTGGCTCTCAGACATGAGCAGGCACAATTCTTTGTTTCTGTCTTGTTAAGAAAAGATCCAGTCATCAGATGATTACACTGTTCTGATTCTGAGAGTTTTTTTTACTTAAGGAACAATTTTAGATAAATTATTGCTGCTGAGGATGCTGCTATTAAAAGCACTGGAGCAAGCATGACCAGCTTTTTCTGATTAGTTGGCAATCCTGAACAAAACCTCTGAATCGCCTGTAAGAACATTTCTTGCTTAGTATGAGCATTTGGCATCTGCTAAAATTCGGAATTCTAGGCCTGCTTGGCAATAAACATTCTTATTTGAAAGAAAAAGAAATGGAAGAAAAACAGGTATTATGAAAATGCTTCTATTTAATAAAAGGTGATTTAAAAATTCAGACCTAACTACACATTCGGTGCAAACATACAGAAGAGATTAAAGAGTGTATAGCAATCTTTTGCATGCACTTGCTCTGGAATTATAGGAAAATTAAAAATACTGGTTGTACAAAAATTGTGCCTGAAGAGATGGATGGGGAGGTCATATAAGAAGCTTCTCTGATCATCAGAAATGTTTGCACCACCCTTTTTAACTGCCCTGCTTCTGTGCCTTCAGCAGAAGACTGATGCAGAAATTCAGCAGGGAAACTTTTCCTTGCGTGGGCCTCAGTGACAAGACAAGTTTGACCTCCTACGTGTCTTCTGTGTAGGCCCAGCACATGACCAGGACCAGTAGAAAGTGGTGATGCATTTACTGGTGGGGATGCAGTGCTGAAAAAGAGGAATTGCGTCGCTGGAAAAAGGGAAAGCAACTTGCATAGCGAAGTTATGTGTACATTTATCTGTAGCAGTGCAAATTTTGAAATAATAGCCTTAATTGAGATAGATACAATGCAGCTCACAGTAGTGGAGTCACCCGGCCCGCAGATGAACTGTGGGCCTGCCAGTGTTGCTGTTCGGGTGCCCGGCGCTGCTCGGCACCTCCAAGGCCCCGTTGGCTCTCAGGCCTTAAGGGTCTGGGCTTTGCCACCAGCCTTGCAAACCTGTCCTGATAGTGGGTCCCTCCAGACAGACGGTCCTCAGCAAGCTCTCCTGAGAACAGGACTGCCCTTTCTTGGAGTTTCAAGCAGTGCTGCTGGTCTGGCTGGACACTGGGGCCAAAGCTCAGGGCTCCACAGCCTGGAATCATCCAAAGGATCCCCAGAAATGTGGTGGGTGGTGGGGGAATCAGAACATGCCAGCTTATTCCTGGCCTGGGGACCCAGGAGGCCCAGATTCTAGTCCACACTCATGCAACCTTCTAAATGCAACCTTTCACATGCTGCAAACCCTTCCTTTTGGCAAGCCCCTGCGGTTACTGTAACATATCAAGACAGCAGAAAGAGTTGAAAAGCATGGAATGGCAGGTAGAGCCTGGAGCAGAGAATATTGCTTGGGTACTTCCCAAGGGAAATAATACACACTAAACCTCCCTCCACCCAACCGGTAAGAGCATTACGTTCAAGGTCCAAAATGACTGGCTACTTCCTCAAAGAGAGGACATCTTCCAATAGAGGACTGCCCCTTGCAAAGTAGGACACCTGGCTACCCTGTTTGCTTTCCCCCCCAGATACAAGGAGGACCATGCCTTTCAAGCGCTTTCAAAAACACACCTGTAACAAACCAAGGTTCTCGGATTCTTTAAACGGCCGACGCTGGCGATTCTTGAAGAGTGGCTCGGACGATTTCAGGGAAGCCTTTCCTCCGATACACGGCAGCATCGTCATCCAGCATCAGAAGGGGCCAGTCCCTGTTCTCCTCCCGAGCCTACCTGAGGGCTTGGGCAAAAGGCAGCGGAAGGCCAAGAGGGTGCCGGTCCAGCCCCAACGTGGCTCTCCCAAACTCTGCCCGGCACTGCATGTCAGAAAGACCCGCATCGCTCAGGTTGAGTACTGCCTCAGCCAACACCCCTTAGCGCTGTACCCTCACCTGGAAGAAAGTGTCCCAGCAGAGGTAAGGTGCTCCTCCCGGTGCTCCCAGAGGCTTGCTCAGGAGGCATTTTGCAAGGCTTTTTCTCCCTGGTGAATTTGCCTGCAGTAAGGAAAAGGACAGAAGCTGTGCTGGGAAAACGCAGGAAGGTTATGCATGCAAGACAGTGTCTGGACCCCGTGAAAAATTCTGTGTGTGAGGCAGGGTGGTGCATGGGTAAAAGTCTTGTCCCAGTGTTGAGAACCGCTGGATAATTTGGCTACCAGAAGATCTATGTCACAGCTCCTTGAGAGAACACAGCCTGGAGGAACATCGTGTGGCTGAAAACATGAGATCTGTGTTGTGCAGACGGTGTTGCTGAAGAAGCTGGAGGAGATAGAAAGGGGATGTGTGCATGGAAATGTTTTTTTGAGGTTCCTTTGCGTGGGAATTTGCTTTTTAAAGCTCCGTTTGCTGTGTGCTGATGGGAAGGAGAGGAAGAGTGGAGAGAGTTAAAAAAGAGGAGAGTGACAGCTCCTTTTGCCCTTTTGCAAAAAAAATATGGAGGAGGAGAATGGTGCATGTGACTCTCTTCCCAACAGCTGTGGGGCGAAGCCACAGGGACCAGTACTCCCAGTTCCCTCTTCCCAAAAGCAAGTTAGCATTTGAGTCTGCTATTAACCCACCTATTCCCTTGATTAGGATTCAGGGTGGGTCACAACATCAAAACCCATACAATTAAAACATTCAAAAATATACCAAGGTTAACAATATAATTTAGTTAGATATTAAAATAGAAGCAATACCCAGATTAAGAGCACTATCAACAACATAAAGAATAAAACTGATCCAGCACAAACTCTCAGGCCATGCCCAGAGACCTGCTGGAACAAAAACGCTTTTAGCTGCTTTGACACCTAACAGGGAAGTGCCTGCTTAGCCTCTCGGGCAGGGAATTCCAGGGCTTTTGGGCAGCCCCTGTGCCACTGTGACTTATCTGTAAGGGCATTGGTAATGATCAGATTTACTTCTGAGTAGGCATGCATTTCAGCTCCTTGTTTCTCGAGCAGGAGGACAAAGGAACCGTACCAGAAGGCTTGAACAGCAGTTCCAAGTAAGAAAGAGAGGCAGGCAAGCCAGGGAAAACTGTGGGAGGCAGGGAAGCAATGGAAGGATTCTTGAGTTTTGCTAAATCCCGAACAGGCCACTTCCTCTTTGCCCCATTGCTGGCTGAAACCACTCTTCCTGGCCCTAAAACAGTGCTGCAAGTTTAGCCCACACCGATATTCATCCTGGGAGAAAACTGCAGCATATAAAAGAGCCGCGGTATGACAGCTTCGCAGAAACGCTGGTCGTGATGACAGAAACAGAGGGAAGATGGGTCAGAGTGCGCATCCTGTGATGCCACGGAGAGTCTGGCCTTGAGATGAGCACTTCTGCCTCTCTGCTCTCCGTGGCTGGAATTGGCCCGCATGTGGAGGTCCCCTGTTCCGAATTCCAATCTGCAGGCCTGGAGAATGCGTGCCAAGAGCAACGGGCTTTCTCTCTCCCCCCACAGTGGGCGTTTGAGGGTCTCAGCAGGGCGTTCAACCCCAGCAGGCGTCGAACTGTGTCCACCCTTGATGGCCGCTCCGGACTGAAAGAGAGCAGCCACCCAAGGGGGGGCCAGTGAGGCCAACCCTGCCGCTAGGAAGAGGGATTTCGTGAAGGGCCACCAGGCAGGTCTTCTGCGGCCTGCCAGTGATTTCGATGCGGGCAAAGAGCTCGCTGGTCTTGTGGCAGGGAGACTTTCTGGCTCAGAGGTGCCAGGAAGCAGAGGCGTCGTGAAGCATCTGCTATGCATGGCTGCCATTGTTCATGGCCGCTTCTCACTCATTACCAATGTGGGAGTCCCTCTTGGGTGAACCCAACCCCAGGAGGAATTTCCCACTCTGGACCATCACCAGGGGAATTTTATCACTGAAACAGAAAGAGAATCGATGCTCACAAGGGCGTGCAATGCAGATTGCGGCCAAGTTGGGGTGGTGGGTCATCCCTCTTGGCACGTTTTGTGGCCCGGGCTGAAAGGGGGTTGTATTCCCAAGGGTTTTCCTGGCCCAGCTTACAGAGGGAGCCCTTTGTATCCCCGCCATTCCAAGAATTCCTAGATCTGCCGGCTTTAACTGTTATGCCAAACACCGTTTATGTGCACCCCCTTTCAAAGCATCACATTCCTGGTCATTTGAAAGGGTGCTCTCTCTCTCCCCCCCCCCTCTCCTTTCTGAATTTGCAATGGTGCCACAGGGTTATGTCTCGGTGAAGCATGGACCAGTCCATAGACCCTGCCGGTCACGTACTTGATCGGCACATCCCACACACCCACTAGCATGGTTGTGTAGGCCCTTCCCAGTGCTCCGGTCTGTTATGGCCACAGCCTTCCCAAAGGCAGCCTTGCTTCTGATCCTGAGAGCGCTGCTGGCATCCTCTGACTTCCCTTGATCATCGTAGTCATGAGGACGAGCGACAGATCTCCAGATCTCAGCAGGAGCTCTGGGAGCCCCCAGAGCAGGCATGATGGAGCTGGAGGGAGGCCTTGGTGAGATGCATTAGGGCCAGAGTCAAAGGGACAGTCAGGCACAAGCAAGGGCCAGAGGCAGGCAAGGTGCAACAGGTCCGAGGCAGCATCAGGAACAGGTAAAGGCCAGATCCCTGGAAAGGCAGAGCAGCTACAGAAGCAAAGGCCGAGCCAGGAATAGGTGAGGGTAGATGCTGACGAGACGAGGCAGGTCCAGAGACAAAGCCAGAGTCAAGAGTGGGCAAGGATCAGATACCTGGCAAAGGTGTGGGAGCAGCAGAGGCCAGGTAGAGTCAGGAACAGGCAGGACTCAAGGTGTGGCTGCAGCTGGTGCTGGCCTGGAAGAACACAGAGCAGCCACCACAAAGACTCACATTGCTGTGGCAAAACTAGCCAGAGCTGAATAGTCTTTTACAACCTCCTCTCTGACTTTCAGCTGGTTTCTGTGCTGGCAGTGGCCCTAACCCTGTAAGCACCTACAGACCTGGGAGCCATCCTGCAAATACTTGCAAAGTGAGCCAGGCTGCCTGCTCTAAGAAGCCACCAGGGGGTGCCATGTTGCTGTAGCTAGTATTGCTATTACTACTGGTTTTTAATTTACTGCCCCTTACCATAGGCTCTGGGTGGTTTACAACAATTTAAAACCACAACAGTTCAAATTCAGATTAAGAACAACACATTAAATCAAACAAATCTGGAAGGGTGTGTTGCAAGAGATAACATCTTTAACTCCCCCTTGAAGGTAACAAACTGGGATATCAGACACATCTCTCCCTATAGGTCATTCCACAGTTTAGGGGCAACCACTGAGAAGGTCCTGTGGAGAGTTGACATCAATCTTGCAGAAGCAAACCGCAGAAGGTTATCCTCAGAGGACCTTATATGAGCAAAAGTGCTCCTGAAGGTATTTTGGATCCATCCCTGAAGGGCTTTAAAGGTAATTACCAACACCTTGTACTGAGTCTGGAAACATACTGGCAGCCTGAAGGTTGTTCATATGTGGTGTCTCCATGATGTCCCAGAGACCAACCTGGCTGCCCAGGTTTCCGGAGAAGGGACAAGGGTGGCCTTACATTGAGTGCATTCCAGAAACTGGGCCTGGCAGGTAGCAGCTCCTGCATTACTGCTTTCAGGTCATTCTCTTCTAGGAAGGGGTGCAGCTGATGGATCGGATGAAGCTGATGCTGCTGTGCAGATGTGGACATTCAGGGCTGCCCTGGTAGGAAGGTGGTGGCTCAAACTGCCTTGTAAGCGCATTCAGGATGGCGACCTTAACCCCACGGGTGAGGGGAGGGGGCTGGGTCCATCCCCCAAATATTCCTGGGTCTGCATTTTCAAACTACCTGAAAGGTCACTTCTGCAGCTGCACAACACTGAAAATGCTGTGCAAATTTAGGTAACCAGCTGGCCCCCAAAGCCTGCCCTTGTTTGCACATACAAACATGGAGACAGGGATTCCCATTAGCTAATCAAGCTGCTGATTAAGGCAGGGATACATCCCAATCAAGCTGGCGACCCTGACAGGTCCAGTCTTGCACCTAAGACTTGCACTAAGAGTCAAGGGTAAACTTAATGAAGCGAAATCCAGGCAACGCAGGCCCTTTGCCTGGTTTCGTTTGCTCCCAGGGGAAGGGAAGTAAGACTGGAGTGAGAAGGCTAAAATATCCCCCTTTGCATAACAGAGCAAGAGGAAACCGAAACATGCTAAGCACGAAGGGTGCCGGGCTATTTCTCTGAAGAGGCTCCCGTGACTGTAAACAGCCGTGGGACTGCCCCAGTGATTCATACGGAGGTCATACGGAGATAATAAATCCTAAATGGGCAATGTTCCACCTAAGCTGCAGGGAAGGCGATTCTTACCAAGCTAGGGGGCAGGCAGATATAAGAGCAATGTGTTTCTGGGCATACACAGAGTGGCTTGATTTGGTGAAAATAACTGAATCAGCAAAGATATTGTTTGCCACAGAGGATCAGAGAGAATATTTGTGTGTGTGTGTTGTTTTGTTTTTTTACTTGTTTGCTATTGTCAGGGTGCCTCAATAGCAGGAGCGAGATGGGATAATTAGGTTCAGTAAGGAAGGACCCCTTCTACCTTGAGCCTCAGCAGTTTGTGGAAAGACCATTCAGCCCCCCTGCAGTTACTTATGGCAGCATGCTACCGGGTAGTGAGTGAGAGCGGGTACAAAATCACAGCCTGTGTACAGATATTTTTATAACCTTCCAGTCATGTACAGGGTATTAGGTCTCCAGATAATGTTACTACAATGGCATCTAGATGTCTTTAGGCATGACATAATGTTCTAAACCATTCAGAAATACTGGTAACAATACTATGGAAAACATTCCTGACTGCTGTACTGACATGTCAATTCAGTGAATTCCTCACCGGCTGGATCAGCTTGTGTCTGTTTAAGGAGGCAGATGCGTCTGATTGTGGAACCATTCAGGAAAACTAGTTTGACAACTACACTGTACAGGCGCTTGCCTCTGTTGAACTAGATGATTAAATGGGTCCGTTCAGGAACAAACGGATGCCTTTGTCTCAGTGGTCTGCGGATAATGCGAACACCAATATTTCCCCACTGATAGTGTTAGTTTAGAGAAGCTTCTCCGTCCACATCTTCTTAAAGCAACAGCAACACTAAACAGTAACCTGGCTTGGAATTCTGCTGCTTTCTGAGAAAGAGGCGTAGGTTTGATTTTATAACACAAAAGCACATATAATCAACCTTTTTCTACCAGGATTTATTCTGGATTTCCTCAACTATTCATCACAAAGATCTTCTGAATATTTGTAAAATGGGCACTGGTTTTGAGTGGGAAAGTGGGCCATACATTTAATAAGTCAATAGATAAATATGATAAATATAATTTTAAAACTGGAACTGGTGAAAGAAATCACTCAGGTGACATATTTCTGGCTCAAAACACCTATTCGGTTCTTTCATTCTTAGCTTTTCAAGGAGGTCCTTAGCGTCTTGGACCCAGAGATGCTTCCAGCGAGTGAAGACGCTGGTGCTGATGTGGACCACAAGCAGCTAATTCCCTCTACGGTTCCTTCCCAGTTGGAACAGGAAGAAAACAGACGAACAGGGGTCAGGTGAGTTGCTCTGTTGCTGCGTGCCAGGGCTGAAGGGTGAGGACAGCTGTCTGAACTGACGTGGCCGCAGCATCTAAGGATGGATGAATGGATGGATGCCAACACCAAAGCAGCCTAGTGCTGCTTTTAAGATTTGCAAAGCAATCCTAAGTCTATTATGCAGAAGTGAGGAGCATTAAGTTCAGAACGGCCTGAACCTCTAGTAACACTGCTTAGAAATATTACACTAGTCAGACTATGTTACAGTTTGTCAAAATATACTGTATTTTATGGAACATAGCCATTTGTTCCTTTTTTCTTATCCCGCCTTGTTTCCTGCAAGGAACAAAGGCAGCTTACAGAATCATCCTTTCCATGTTATCCTCACAACAATGGGGGCAAGTTAAAACAGAAGATGGAGCTGGGGAGGGGATGATGGGCTTTCCCCCTTACAGTGATGTCTAGCTGCATCTTGCACTGCAGTGACTGAGTTGTTGAGCTGGAACTTGGCTATACCAGGCAGCTACTGGGTGCTCATGGCTGCGCATGGGTTCTTTAGATGACATGACTGTCCAGTGTTGCTTCCGTTTTGAAACAACACTTTCAGCCACACTTTTTAAGAGAGAAGAAAAGCAGTATTATTTCTGAAAGTGAAAGAAAGCACTATTTTCACTTGTGTGTTTCAGTTATTCTATTGTACCATGGCACCACCTAGAGGTGATGTAGCAGAAAGGCAGGAACACTCAGAGTTCAATTTTGGGGTAAAACCAAAAGGGGATACAGTGGATTGAAAGTCTCCTGTAGAAAACCCAGTAGATAAGAAGCAGGCAACTTGCAACCTTCTAAATATGACTGCACTGCCACTTCCATCATTCTTCACCATTGGCTATGATAGGAACTGTAGTCCAACAACATCTGGAGGGCCATGAGATGTTCACCATTGACAGGATGATCTCCAAGGTCCCTTCCAATTCTGGAACTGCTTCAGCCCTGGGATATTTTCCTCCTGGTAATGATCACTTCGGGTCTTGAACCTCACTGGGGGTGGGGGGGAATGGCTGGAAGGCTGGTGCCCCCCAAATACCACCTTGCACTTCAATTGTGCTCCATCACTCTGTTTTGTATTACATCTCCTATGAACAAACGTTTGAGCCTTTTTCACAAAGCTTGCCTTTGATCTGCCCGAATGCAGAAGGAATACACTGGAGACAGCTTTTCAGTGCTTTGTTGTAAGTTCTGCAATTCAAGGAATGGAAAAATTAAAGCCACACACGGGCATGCATTCCCTCAGCTCTCGAATGCCATCTTGTGGGTTCAATCAGTCAAGCATTTAGCAAGCCTTTCAAGGAACAGAAAATAGTAAACCATCCCACGGGCGTGCTAGGGTGGTGAGTTTTTTATTTTGCTGTCCCTACTCTTGGGTCAACATATAGAACTTATGCCGGTAAAGCTTTCCCTGGATTGGGGAGGAGTAACAGGAGAAATTATGATGGGGAAGAAATGGAAGTAGTGACAGATTTTATTTCCTGGGCTCCAAGATCACTGCAGACGGGGACTGCAGCCAAGAAATTAAAAGACGGTTGCTCCTGGGGAGGAAAGCTATGGCAAATCTAGACAACATACTAAAAAGCAGAGACATCACCCTGCCAACAAAAGTGCGTATAGTCAAGGCTATGGCTTTCCCAGTTGCAATGTATGGCTGTGAAAGCTGGACCATAAGGAAGGCTGAGCACCGAAGAATTGAGGTCTTTGAATTGTGGTGCTGGAGGAGACTCCTGCGAGTCCCTTGGACCGCAAGGTGATCAAACTGATCAGTCCTAGAGGAGATCAACCCTGACTGCTCTTTAGAAGGCCAGATAGTGAAGATGAAACTCAAATACTTTGGCCACCTAATGAGAAGAAAGGACTCCCCGGAGAAGAGCCTGATGCTGGGAATGATTGATGGCAAAAGAAGGGGGCGGCAGAGGATGAGGTGGCTGGATGGAGTCACTGGGGCAGTGGGTTTGAGCTTGAGTGGACTCTGGGGGATGGTGGAGGACAGGAAGGCCTGGAGGAGTGTTGTCTATGGGGTTGTGATGAGTCAGACACGACTTTGCAACTAACAACAAACAGGAGAAATTAATGCAGCATAATTCTTCTTTATTTCAAAAAAGGCTGGGAAAGTGTCTACTTTGCTCTACTGATCTACCTATTATTTATTTATTTGTTTCATTTTTATTCCACCCAATAACTAAAAGGCTCTCTGGGCAGTTAACAAAGTCAAAGAATATATAAACAAAGAACAGAAACATCATATCACAATAAACAATAGAACAATAAAAACAATAAAGCAGCCACAATCACAAGCTCACAGCAGCCGTAATCAAGTTGGCACATAGGTACAGCACCAATATTAATAGAATAGAGTATTAAAACTAATAATTAACTGTCCAAATACATGGAAAGAAAAAAGGTTTCACTTGGTGCTGAAAAGAGTGGGTGCCAGGCATGCCTCTTTGGGGAACTCGTTTGAGAAATGGGGTGCCACAACTGAAAAGGCCCTGCTTCTGGGTGCCACCCTCCTTACTTCCATTGGAAGGGGCTCTCTAAGAAGTGCCCCAAAAGATAATCTTAAGAACTGTGTAGGTACATATGGGATAAGACAGTCTTCAAACTTGGCCCCAAGTTGTTTAGGGCCTTAAATGTTAATATCAGCACTTTGAATCGGGCCCTGACTTCAACTGGGAGTCCATGCAGCTGAAAGAGGACTGGCACAATATGATCTCCTGAGCAGTCCTCATTAACAGCTGCTCTGCTCTATTTTGAATCCACTGAAGTTTCCAAACCGTTTTTAAAGGCAGCCTCACACCGAGTGCATTACAGTAAAACATCGCTGGATTTTTGCATGAATTTCTGATGTACAAGTCCGATCACTTATAAAAGCAGCAAATGAACACCAAGTTTTATGATTTCTTGCAGCCTTCCCCAGCCTGGTGCCCTCAAATGTGTTGGACTCCAACTCCCAGCATCCCCCAGCCAGCCACAGGAGGGCCACAGGTTGGAGAAAAGGTTGAAGACTGAGGGAAACGAGTGTGTGCACAGTCAGCCCCCCTGAAAATGGGGGGGGGTCCTTCTGAGTAAAAACGGATGGGATTGTGCCCCTGGGCTGCAGTGCTAACAATTTCCTGGGCACAGATCCTATTAAACATTAAAAATTAAGGCATTGTGCAAATGTCTCCAACAGCAGGGGTCCCAAGGGCAAGGATCCTTACCTGTGGTTCTCCATAAGGGAAGTGGCAGCAAGAGAGAGGGAGGCCAGGCTGAATTACGTTCCCCCGCTTGACGAGAACGTTGCTCGAGCCACCAAGGAGTTTTGCAGCTGGCTTCATTCTCTGGTGAGTAAAATCACGCCCACACCCCATCTCATTCCAAGCCCAAATGTCTCATCCTACAGAACAGGAAGGTCAGGACGTGAGACAAGGCTTGTTGAATCCGATCAGTGCCCTAGTCAGCCCTCAAGCAGGATGGGTGCAAGACCTCCTCCTGGCAATCGCTGGTCAAGAGGAGATCAGCCCTGACTGCTCTTGAGAAGGCCAGATCCTGAAGACGGAACTCAAATACTTTGGCCACCCAATGAGAAGGAAGGGCTCCCTGGAGAAGACCCTGATGCTGGGAACAACAGATGGCAAAAGAAGGAGGGGGCGGCAGCGGATGAGGTGGCTGGATGGGGTCACTGGGGCAGTGGATGTGAGCTTGAGTGGACTCCAGGGGATGGTGGAGGACAGGAAGGCCTGGAGGAATGTTGTCCATGGGGTCGCAGTGGGTTGGACAAGACTTCACGACTAACAACAATAACAACAAAATGCAACATAGCAATACATACGTTGCATATAAATTGTATATTTATATGTAACTTGAACTTAAATCCTTGCTCAAATGTGTGAGCTGTACCTACTTTTTGCACTTATCCTGTTTCTCCCAGCATAAGAATGTTTTACCAAGGTCCCCCACCTCCAGTAGCTTGGCCTGGAGGAAACGTAGTAAGTTTCTCAGTGCACAGAAAGGAAATCCAGTGAGCATGGAATTCAGGGAGAGAACATCATTCCTGCATGGCCAACTTTCCCCGTTTTCCTGGTCCAGTTAAATTTGTGGTCCAAGCCAAGCCAGTCAAGCTTGGGGGTTGTAGGGCATTTTTCTGTCCAAACACCCAAGGATTGTGTTTTGCTTAAACGGGTCTGCCTACTCGAGTTACAAACAGAATTAGAGGATAGACTGGTTTAAGTCCTGATTAGTAGGTTGCCTGAGTTTTTTCCCCCAAATATTCTGTTTGGCTGGATAACTAAACTTTATTCCAAGGTTCTTAAATATCAATTTTATCAATAAAAGGCTTGCATTTATAATTGAGATTTCCAGTAAAATCCTGTAGGTATACATTATTTCTTTTGCTACGAAAGCAAAAAAGATTGCAACCTCTCCAAACATCAAGACGCCAACTTCTGTTGTCATCAGCCAGGTTGGGAAGGACTGACAAACTGACTCAAACCTGCCTGATTTGAACTACCATTTCAGGGAGGAGAGAAGTGTGACATTGATGAGGACACCATTATTAGCCTGTTTGATACCGGTTATGGCTCCAAGCCCCCACTCGCAGTTCTTATAAATGTCCTAGAGCCAAAAGATTTGCCTGCAGAGCTGCGGAAGGACGCTGGAATCCCACCTCCTTGGGCCAAAAGGAGCCATTCAAAAGTAAGTCAGGAAAAGACCTTTGGGAAGGACCTGTATTGACATGGCAATATCTTTTCTTTTTTCTTTCTTTCTTTTCTTTTTTCTTTTCTTTTCTTTGTGCTGAAGAGATGGAGCCCCTCTCTAAACTTTTCCGTAGGCAAAAAATGTAACTCTTGTCTGCATTTTTTCACCGATGGCAGAACGATAGGGGAGGTTGTGAGCACGGAGCCAGGAAGCCATGCTCGGTAATTCTGTTACCAAGTGTTAGAGGAAAGCTAGCTCTTTGCAAGGGAGTAGCAAAAAGGGTTGGGAGAGGGTTGTTTACATTTCCTTCCATCTGTTTTCCCCATTGAATAAAAGAACAGCCAAGTTGGATCAGCGCACAGTCCTGTCCCATCCAGTGTTGTGTTCACCCCATGGCCAGCCACCCTAGACCGGAAATCAATGAGTAAAACAGCAACAATTACAGCAGATTCCAGCGTTTCTGTTCAGTATTTAAGTGTTAGGAAATTTTGCAGGGCTCTTGCCAAGGCAAGCGGGAGAAGATCAGGTACGGGGCTTGGTACCTGGATCCAAAGACATGGACGAAACAGGATGTGAATAAGCCTTCGCAAGACCCAAGGAATGGAAGCATCTTGAATTTGAGGGGGGCGTTGAGTGAAAAGGTATTGTCAGAAATCCGAAAGGGTCTCTGTTTTCTTGTTGCATCCCCAGAAAGGGCAGTGGTTCCCCCTGGGGGAAAGGTGGTTTTGATGGTGAGGGAAACAGAAGAGTTTCCGCAGTGCTTTACAACACTTCTCGCCATACTTGAGATGAATTTGGCACGAGTTTCAGTGGGCTGTGCTGCTAAAAGGCCTAATTTTTGTCTAATACAGAGAAGAAAGTTTTGGCTGTTCTTTTACACAGCAGAAAATAAAGGGATGAACGTGAAAACACAAGCTGGATGGAGTGGAATCTGTTCCCTGTCTTTGTGGAGGGATCCCTTGCCCCTCAGCTCCCCTTCTACTTTATCCCAAAGAGCTTTGGGGGAGCAGTGGAGGATTGTCTGAAACCATGAGAAAGGATGGTTGATCCGGGGAGGAGGGGAGGGTTTGGGAGGCTGGGAAAGAAGGGAGGGTTTGGTTAAAGTGAACTTCTGTCTTTGGATATTTTCGCAGGAGGCCGAGATCTTGCAACTTCATGGAACCCATGCATTTAGGGAATTTCTTGAGAGAAAGGGCTACCGGATCCCAGAGGTAAGGCTTAAATGCACTCATCTAACCATCTGTGGTATCCACAGTCATAAAATAAGTTCCTGCCAGGTCTGCAAAGAAGAAGGGACTCGCTTCCCATGTATTGTCTCATTTTTCTATTGTTGCTGTCATTAACTTATTTTTATTTATTAGATATATATCCTACCTTTTTCTTTTAAAGAACTGAAAATGGCTTTCATCATGCTCCTCCTCCTGCTCTCAATCTTATCCCCACAACAACAACCCTGTGAGGTAGGTTGAGCTGAAAGTCTGTGACTGGTCCAGGGTCACCCAGTTGGCTCCATGGCTGAGTGAGGGCTAGAACCCAAGTCGCCTGAATCTGAGTCCTGTGCTCTTCCCCACAACATTGTAGTAAGACACTGCATTTCTATCCCACCTTTTTCCCCTTGTGAGAAGACCAAGGCAGCTTATGTAGCTCCATTTTATCCTTACACAACAACCTTGTGAGGTAGGTTAGGCTGCAAGTGCGTGGCCTGAAGTGGCTGGCTCTCTCTTGGGTTAGGTGGGTGGTCCAGTGGTGCGGTATGTGGAGCCAGCCAGACTGTTGGGCTGGGGGCCCTACCTGGGATGTAGCTCAGCACCATGGATAAAACCACAGCTGGAGGCAGCCGCTGCTCCAGCCCTCTTCCTACCCTCCTTTCTCGATGCGGCCTGCAGTGCTGCCCAGGTGGAGAAGCAAGGCAGGTGCAGGGCTCAGTCCTCACCACCCCGCATACCCTTGAAAAGGGCACGTGGGCAAGCAACCGCAAAGAAGAGGAGGAGCAAGATGGCCACTGGGCCCCCTTTTGGGCTGTGGGCCTTCCCAAGTGCCCCGTCGTGCCAGTCCCTGGTGCCGACTGGAAAAGCCAGGGTCCAAACCTGGAAGCCCTCTGCATGCCGAGCGTCTTTGCTGCCACTGCACATTTTCTGTCCTTCTCAGAAACAGGGATGCTTTTCAGGATTAGTACAGGCTGATCCTGCAATGATTTGGACTGGGGGGATTCAGGCTGGGATTGTGAAGCCAGAATACCAGGATGTTCAGTGTTGCATGAAGGCCTCCACACCTGTCGCTGCCAGACGCTTGGAGGTGCGGCTTGTAGCAATTCAGTGGTGAGGCAAAAATCTACTGCACTTCTTCAGAAACATGTTCTTCTTTTAATGTTACGTTCCTGAGTGCCTACATTATTTATTTATTTATATCCTGCCTTGTTTCCTCCGAGAATCCTAAGGTGACTTACATAACCCTCTCTTTTCCATTTTATACTCACGACAACCCTGTGAGGTAGGTTAGGCTGAGAGTTTGCATCTGGCCAAAGGCACCCAGTGAGCTTCATGGCTGAGTGGGGATGAAAGTCTGCATCTCCCAACTCCCAGTTCAGCACTCTAACCACTAGGCCACACTGGCTGTCATGTTCCACCAGCTCTGTAAGACAGGAAGGGCCATAGCTTAGAGAGAGACCACATGCTCTGCATGCCAAAGGTGCCCAGTCTTGGACATCTCCAAGCAGGCCTGGGAAGGACTGTTGCCTGCAACCCTAGGCCTGGGGTCTCCACCCTGATAGGCACGGGGTCCCCTGTGTAGAAACACAGAAACAGAGCGAGTCAGAAGGAGTCTCCTGGAACATCTAGTCTGACCCCCCAGCTTCAGCTAGTTCCACTCATGCAATCCCCAACATGTGGCTGTGCAATCTTTCCTGGAACACCCTCACTGATGGGGCCTCCACCACCTCCCTTGGAAGCCCATTCCATATCCTAGGGGTCCCAACCATCAGGAAGTCCTTCCTGACATCCACCCTGACGCCTGTTTCCTTGAGCTTTGCCCCACTGGAACGCGTCCTGCCCTCCACTGCAGGGAAGAACTGGCCATCCACACGACGTCCCCTCACATACCCATATGTCACCGACAGATCCCCTTGGAGTCCCCTCTCCTCCAGGCTGAAGAGCCCAGTTCAGACAATCTCCACAGAGCTCAGCCTCTTTCTCTGCCCTGCACTTAGCCTATTTATTTATTTATTTATTTATTTATTTATTTATTTATATTTTTCGATTTATATCCTGCCTTTTTCTGACAAAGGGCTCAAGGCAGCTTACATCATTCTCCTCCTCCATCTTATCCCCACAACAACAACCCTGTGGGGCAGGTTGGGCTGAGAGTCTGTGACTGGCCCAGAGTCACCCAGTTGGCTCCATGGCTGAGCGGGGACTAGAACCCGGATCGTCTGAGTCCCAGTCCCGTGCTCTTCACCACTACGCCACACTGGCTTCTTGGGCAAGGTAGTCTCTTCCTTAGTTTCACCAGGTTTCCTCTGGAGAAATGAGTGTTTCATGGTAAGTCAGCCTGCGCTACCCCATGGCAGCCAAGAATGAGCCCCCCCTCCCACCAGGACATTCACAACAGCGTCCCCGCTCTTCCCACTTTCCCAGAGAACAAAGCGATGCCTGCTCTGGAGAATCGCTGCCGATCGTGCAGATGAGCTGAGGGGGCGACCGGGTATCAGACAAGGCTGCATATTCCCAAGAGTGCCTTTTCGAAACAAACTCACACTTATGTTTTGCTTTAGTTCCTGCAGCAGATGCTGTCTGTGCAGGCAGCTACTGGACCAAGTGTGAGAGCTTTGAGGCACTCCAGGAATGAAGTTCAGGGGCGAGCCAGACTTGAAGAAGACGGTTCTTCGAGGGCAAGGAATTACCGTGAGTGTCTCAGCTGGTCAAGACCTGGGAGAGCATGAGCAGGCCTCGTCTCCACCTTGAAGCTGGGCCCGGTGTAGAGGCGGGTGACCAAGCTGGATGTGGAAGGCCCCTGAGCTCTTCCAGAAATGCCTGTCACGGACTGATGACTTTCTGCCCACCGAACCACTGATGCAAAGCTGAGTAATGAATAGCTAGAATAAATATAGGTTTACATGTTCTCGCATGCAAATTTAATCATGCATGCTGGTCATGCATCAACGTAATGGAAAGGACTACAAATCCCATTTGAAAAGAATAGCCTCTTCTAAGGCCAGGCCTGCTTTTAAGTTTCTAAGCAGTGTCAGATGATGACCTCCAACTGTCAGAAGGCTTTGCCTCTCCTTATGACTAGAAAAACACATGAACTATTCAGAGAGAAACCAGTAAAGATGGCTGATGCTGCTACCAAACCGCACCAGCTCAACTGTCACAGCTTTGGAGTTTTACTTCTAGAACAGTTAGACTATCTGGCTGCTACTTGACATTTGGTAGCAATTCAGACTTGTTTAAGTTTAGGCCAAAACTGGGGAGCACGGAATAATTCTGCTGTTCTGCCACCTCTCTCCCCAGGTCAACTCAACAATTGGGTGGAAATGTTTTGGGAGAAATATTTTGGATTTTGAAGAGGCGAGTTGTGATGCAGCTAGCATTGCTTGCCACCTGCTGCATCTCCAAGACATCTGCACTTAGTCTGTACATTTCCAAATGAATGGACTCTTAGAAAGATGTAATGATCTACAGTTTGTTTTCCAGCAGAGGAAATTGACCAGACTGGCTGGCATTAAATTTCTATTGTTCTGGAAAGGGGAAGCACCACAAAGATCCTTCTGGCAGGAGGGCAGTGATTGGCAGGATGTAGCAACCGCTTCTCCTCCTTTGGGGAGGCTAAAACCCTAGAAAGAGGTTGGCCAAAAAGCTTAGATTAGATCAGGATTGTTGGATCAAGGATACTTCCACTCTAAGCCCTTTTGCAATTCAATTCTTTACATCTCTGCTCAAAAGGAAACCTCCTTGACTGAAGCCTTGATGTGGAATCAGAAAGGTTTGTTCACTTTTTACGGGACATCAACAGGTTGTCTTCATTGCATCATCACCCTCTGGTTCTGGGGTCTTTTCTCAGACTACTCCCCTACCCCCCACCCCCACGCTGCACCAAAAAAATCCAACTTTTGGAGAAGGAGCAGCAGCACAGTGCTATCTTTGCATGTATAAATAAACTTGATTCAGCACCTCTACCTTTCCCAAATGTAGTTTGATGTCTGCACCGAAGTATCATGAAGAAGGGGGGACTGTTTTATCATCTTTTTCATTGTATATTTAAGCCATCTTCCAATTAGTACAACACCTTTTCATATACAGATAAGGGTACACGCACGTATATAAGAAATGCACAGATGCAAAGCATATGTGTGTGGAAATGAAAATTAGTGGAGTGCTGATTTAGAAAGATTTAAAAAGCCCACCTGCGGTCTGTCTGATTGCTACCAATTTAGCAATACAGTAACCCTCCCTTTGTTTCTGCCAGAAGTACTTTGCCAAATAATTTAAGGATATTTTAAGTTCTTCAGATTGTTGCTCCTGAGTAATTAAATAACAAACGCACTTCGGCTCAAGTTCAATAGTTGAGCACAGTAGGAAAACCTGATACTTTGAGTTGCCCTATTTCCAATGAGGCGACTCTGGAGTTAATGAAGCATAATTTTTATTGCCCGGTTGTGCTAGGAAGAAGTGGTAGAGAATGGAGATGAGGAGAAAGGAACAGTTCAAAAAGTAAAAGAGACAATAGAACAGCATTCTGCTGATGCAGATAGAGAATATTTTTTACTTTAAGCATAGAGGAGAATATGGATATGACGATTCCACTGATTTAAAATTGCCCGTGTGATTGGCAGTTATTTGAGGGTTGCTTAGGAGAATGAGTTCTCAGCCCCCTCACCAGATCACAGTTCTCAGAATCATGGGGCTTAGCCGATCTAAAGTTGTAAGGAGCTGATCTGCCCCACGAGGCCCTACAACACGGCTTCCGTCCCTTCTAATCGTCATAGCATGATTCAGGAGTCAAGGCGGTCATAATGGACTCCACTTTTCCACCGCTGGAGAAGAGGCATGACGCGGTGTAGCATTTATTCCTGTCGAAGGTGTAGCAAGGTGTATCTGGATCGTTGCACATAGTGCTCTCTCCCATTACGACTTTCTGTAGATTGTGCCCCTGGTTGAGGTCTGAGTCGCACCTATTACAGCTGAAGGAGAAGAGAACCAGAGGAGAGGTATTAGTCCATCTATCAGTCTTCCCCAACCTGCAGCTCCTCAGATGTGCTGACGTACAACACCCAGGATCCCCCACAGTCAGCTTGAAGGATGCTGGGAGTTGTAGTTCAAAACTCTGTATGGCTTCAGCTGGAGTAGGCTGCAGGGAAGCTAGCCAAAGCAGCTCCCTGGCACGAACGAGGCTTCCACCCAGACAGAAGCATCCTAAATGTGGTCTTTCTTGTTTTTGCTACCTGCAAATGATTTCACAGAGTTCTGTTCCTTTGTCATCTGTTTCTGGATTTCCATGAAGCTTCCCCTCATTTTACAGCAGACCGTTTGGGACAATGTCACCATTTCAAAGTCCAGAGACTGAGCTAGACACCCAACCCACCGAAAATTGTTTCGGTTTAAATAAAAGCCGCAAGTCCCCCAGAGTTGTTCAAACTCCTAACTGGGGAAGGGAACGAGGGGGCCCAGCCCCCTGCCTGCCAAGTGGGGAAATGATGTGGGGGATCTGTTGTAAATTTTAAGGGGGGGTGACTGAACACATCCTACCCCATTGCTTGTGCCCCATATTGACACTGCCAAAAAAGCCATGAGGGTATTTTGCTCACACTTAGCAAGCAATTTTAACCTGAGTTTAGAAACATGGAAACAGTGAGTCAGAAGAGGTCTCCCGGGCCATCTAGTCTGGCCCCCGGCTCCAGCCGGCTCCGCTCACGACATGCCCACCATGTGCACGTCCATACTAGTACTAGTTCGATCTAGTATTCTCAAAATATTCCATTTGGGTCCTAATTGCCCGATGTACCTCTGCTGCAGGTGCTTTTGTAACAAGTTAGGAGTGTAGCATCAGGGTTATGAGGTGCCACGAGGATAATGTGGCACCAAGATTCTAGCTGGCTATCAGGGAACATTTCCTGATGGTTAGAGCAGTATGACAACGGGACCTTGACCTAGGGAGGTGGGGGGCTCTCTCACCCTGGCGGCATTCAAGATGCAACTGGACAGCCACGTGAGAGGGATGGATTGGCTCGGAATCCTGCCCTGAGTGGGGGGCTGGACTTGATGGTCTTCTGGCCCCTTCCAACTCGACCGTTCTATGATTCCATTACTGTTCCTGGAATGCGGCCAGGTATGAAGTGCTCTGAGTTGCAATTGCTAAGGCACCTAATGAGATGCACCAAATGCCAGTACAGACGCCCACACTATTTTCAGTATATGCCCAACTGCAACCACATTGCACAAATGCACCGTGGTTGTTCATTAAAGCTGGGACGTGAGTTGGACTTGGAGAGCACAGTACGATCAAAAGAAGCTCTTACAGCTTGGAGAAGTTATACACAAATCTGGTTCTCAAAGGCGAGGTCGGGTCAGTGATGTTCTCTCTGGCTTTAAGAGGGACGCTGGAGAAAAGGAAGAAGAAGACAAAGAAAAGGAAGACAAACCAGATCATTCATATCGAATGCACTAGAAACACACTAGTCATTGCTCTGGAATCACAGGTTCTTTCTTTTCCCGCTTCAGTTGCTGTTACAGCAATAAAACATGTGCAACTAAAATAGACAAGAGGGAGCATAAAATACTAGCAAGGGCTGCTGCACTAGTAGGTGACATCTGTGAAAACTATGAGATGCCACGGAGAAGCGTGAAGCTGAGATGCGGGCAGCCATCACTGCATGTGGGCCCGCAATCTTCTCTGTAACGGGTTGTCCCTCAGAAGTTCCCCACCCTGCTGCAGAAGAGGGCACAGAAGCTGCTGGTCCAGTGGGAGGCCTCATGGGCCATTTGACCTGGCCTGAGGTCTTTCTTGTCCAGAAAACTCCGTTTTCTGGGACACAGGAAAACCCCCATCCTGTAGGAATGAGGAACTACCCCTAGGAGTGAGAGCGCTTATGCTCAAGGGCAGTCAGATCATCTGAAAAAGGGTGACTGAAAGGATCTTGCAGGGGCGAAGGTGACCAGAAGTGTCCTAGCATGTGGGCAGAATGGTTTTCTGAGTTGTTGGCCTTTTCCCTGGCAAGCTGGTGGATTTCTCATGTGATATTACAGTTTTCTCCTTGCAAATGTATCCTGCTTAACTGTCAGTAAAGTCGCTTATTTCCAGGGATGCTTCCAGATGGAGGACTTGTAGCATTACCCATCAGGAGGCATGGGAGAGCTATTTATTTATTTAAAGTTTTTGGATGCCATTTTTGTATGCCTCGGGACGGCTCACACCAATAAATAAATATCATACAAATACAAATTAAAACCCGGAAACACCCTGGCTGCACAATTAAAACCATAAATATTACACATTGTTAAAATATTGCTTGAATAAAAAGGTCTTAGCCTGGCGCCGAAAAACAAATAATGACGGCGCCAGGTGGACCTCTCTGGGGAGCACATTCCAGAGTTATCCCATCTTTTCCCCCAGAATGGACTTTCCAAGCTAAGGAAAAAGATGGGAGAAATGGTGGAAAAATTTGGGAAGGCTACGAGTGGAGGATGGTGTCATCTGACCCCCTGTAACATTGCATGAGCGCATCAGGGTGATGGCGAACTGACATTCTCATCTGGAAGCAGCCTGGCTCCCGTGAATTTATTTATCTACATAAAATTTGTCTTTAAAGTGCCATGAGAAAGTGGTGGTGTTCGCTCTGTTGAGGTACCACTTACAAGATACGAATGTTCCTTTCCAAAACTTCTTCTTCTGGATTGTCTTTTGAAGGGACAAATCTCGATGTCATCTTGACACATTGACACTTGTTGTCCACCAGAACTTTCTCTTCGGCTTCCTCAAGCCCATAGAAAGCTTAAACAAACATTTTAATTAAGGAACAATGAAGCCATTGTCAAGCGTTAAAAGCTAGCTTAAAAGCCGTAATCCAGGTCTGTGGCACATCCTATTTATTGCACTCCCTGTGTAACCATGACCAGATGATATGGACCTATTCATCGCGTTCTGTGCGTGTACCAGTAATATCGAGATCTGAGAGCAGAAGCTGCATTTGCTAGGAAGGAAGCGGAAACCCCAAGATCTTTGAGGTGGCATTTTCAGGTCCAGATATTTTCATACTGGTGACTAATCTTTGGGTTATGGAAACATACCCTGCGTATCGTAAGCAGTCACAGGACAAATCGGACCATTGACCTGTCTCACCCGATCCATCCGGAGCAGCAACCTGTGCTCTCCAGCGGGAACCTTCCCAGCCCTGCTCTGGGAGATGCTTTTGATTATTGTAGTTCTTACTTTAAATCCCATCTTTTCCCCTCTGGTAAGGAACCCAAGTTGGTTTACAAAGTTCTCCCCCTTGCTGTTGTAGCCTCACAATGACCCTGAGAGTTGCGGGCCCAAAGTCACTCAGTCTTCATGCCCGGCTTTCCCAAGTCTCTGTCCTACATTCTAGCCACGAAATCACACTGACTATCAAAGACTGAATCTGGGCTCTCAGCATACAAAAAAGTGCTCCATTTCTCTATCGTTCCTTAACAGATTCCCTGAGCTAGAGACAGAAGGTAAAGAAAAATTGGGGTTTCTTCTACTTGTCTTTCCCCCTACTGAAGCCTCATTTCATCCCGACCTGTCCAGACACCTGTACTTAACTGCTCCACTGAGTACTTGCCATTTTAGTCCTAAGTTCAAGTAGAGCCATTGAAATGTATGAGATTTCAGTCAGTCAGAACTTACATCCCATTCATTTCAATGGGTCTATTCTATCTAGGACTAACACTGAATACTGTTGTTTGTGTAGCTCAGTTCTAAAAGATGCAGGAATTCAACAGGTCTACCTTTTTTTTAAAGTGACAAACATAAGTAAAAATGTTTGAGATGTGATCATAAGGAAAGACTTACTGATTCAATTTTTGCCTATCAGCAGCTGTTAGAGACACAGGATCCCTGCCAGAAAATGTGACAACCATGTTCTGACTGCAAGGTTCTCCCACTGGAACCCTTTCCTACAGCAATGCATTTATCATGGCCATTCCCGGGCCCATGATGGGTACATTTATTCCTGATCCGAATCCTTTCCTATACCAAAGCTCCCCAATTCAGTTGCATTTTCTGATAAAGAACATAATACAATACCTTAAAACGTACCATCAGGCAGGAAGTATTATGACTCATAATCAAGTTAGAACAGAAGGTATGGAAGCAGTCACACTAGCAATCTTAGACATGTATTCAATTTCAGATACTAGCTAGGAATCTGCCACATAAATTCACATGCTTGGAAAGGAATCAGAATAGCTTGCTGGGGTGGGGATGCTCTTCCAGGTCACCCATAAACAGCAATCAATCAATCAATCCATCAATCAATCAATCAATGCTTCATTATTAGTGGACAGATTCTGAGGCTAATTTCAGAATGTAGTTCCCATAATGCACAAAATTTGTCATTTCCAAGCACCTCAGCAGAACAGAACAAGCACCTGCTCCTTGAAGCCACTGGATTTGAAGTAGATTTAGTCATCCCTAAAATAAGGGAACTAACTTTTGCATGTGTAGACAGGAGAAAGTCTGCTGGGAGCTTTTCTCCACCTAAACAGGCATAGGACTGCATTCTAAATTTTGCATCTGCATCCAAACCTTTTTTTAAAATCCAGTCTGGCCCTCCCAGGTAAGAACACATGCATCCATTAACACACCTGCAATTTGCTTCTGGAACAAAAGGATCTTTCTAGCTTATGCACTGGCTCTGAATGACTTTCTGCGTTTCAGGATTGAAGTATTGCATACCTGATCCAAGAATAGCTCCCCCAAAGAGTGCCAGAGCTCCACAAAGAATCCAAGAGGACTGCATCCTTAATCTTTTCCTCCAATTACTCTCAGGAGGGTGCCCCTCTGGCCAGAAGTTGTGCGTGCAGTATTCCTAAAGTACCGGTGGGGATTACAAGTGTCTGGTGTGTGCAGCTGTGCACAGTCAGGCCAGACACAATGAAACCACAAGCCAAAGCCGTTACTCATCAGAGAGCAAAACTCTGTTCTTCGAAAACTCTGCTGGTGGGTGGGACTGTAAGACCTTAACTTTAACTTTTATTGGAATGTATTTGGCAAATTACGAGGATGCTACAAAGGATTAACATGAAACGCACAAAGAATGCATGGAAAATAAATCAAGAGCATTTGGTTGCAAGAACATCTGAATGATTAAATAGGATGCTTAAGTCAGGCCTTAAAAATGAATTTTGACTGAGCTGATGTTCTCGAGATGTCATCAATGCTCATAGGAATGCAATATCACGTGGCATCAAATAAATCTGGCTTTGTGGGGCTCCTACCTAGCCTACGATGTTATATAACCCTCTCCAGTGTAAAGCAGCACCGTTGTTTGTTACACCCTGATGCCAAAAAAAATCCTTTCCCATTCAAAATGATGCATGGCACTCTCCATAAATGAAGCATCCACTTCTAGTGCAGGCATCTGGATTATTTCTTGGACAATACTCCTGTGTGTGAGCTGCTTCAAAAACATTAACCTTAAGCTAAGCAATAGATGGGTAATGACACAGGTGCTTCTTTTAAAAACAAACATATGTATCCCAGATTGCTTGATAACAGGTTGTAGAACTCCCAACAGCCAGCAAAAGCATTTTGTCATGCCAAGCAATTAAACTGTGTGATCTGTGGCAAAGTTACAAGTATATTGGTGTGTTCTTCTCTATTTAGTAAGTAGCTGAATTCACCCTCAAAAAATGGCTGCTGGGTTAATTTTAGTGCGAAAGAGCTGTGCCTGGTCTTTAATACTCCGTCTTCCAGATCAGTTTTAAAGATGCATGTACAACATATCAAAAATAGATTACCAAAGTCTTGTCATCAGGACTAACAGTGTGAAAGCACTCAACTGTGTTCCATAGAAAAGTGCTGGTTTTCTGACCTTTGATTCAGGAAAATATAGATACTTCAATATTCGTTTAATGTTTGGTAAAGGAAGAATGACAAGACAACACTGGAAAAACCAAAGAATCAACTAACACCATGACAGGTCTGTGGTTTGAATGCCCCACTGAAGATTATCTGAAACACTAACTCCAGAGTACTCTAACTTCTCTCTGCAATCCAGAGACGCTTTCCCATCAGGATGTCATACATTAGTCCCTTTTCTTCCGTCACCACATATTCTGACCTGCCAAATGCTGCAAGGATTAGAGTTTTAAAATTTTGCACAAATTAGCTGGGTGCTAAGGTGCATTTCCCCAGGCAGTTCAATAAGACAGGAGCCAGCCAGAAAAGGAAGGACAGACAGGTGAGCTCAAGGCGCTGTCTGGAGGCTGCAAGGCACTGCTCTGAGGGTGAAGGGGGTTATGGAACCGAGTGCTCTCAGCAGGAACCTCTCACACCACAATGTTTTGTCACTACTCCAATGTGGAAAGAACCAGGCAGCTCCTGTGCCAATCACCTTGGGAGCAAAACAGCACCAGTGAACCAGAGGGAAGATCCTGCATGCTCAGGGGAATCACAAGAAAGGCACTAGATACCTTTGAGACACAGACATGCACCGAAGGGGACAGCCTCCCACCCTGTAGCAATCTGGGGCTTGCTTGCCTGCTCTCATGTGGGGCAGGGAAGGAAGGGGCACCTGGCCCAGCAAGACAGTTAACCTGGGCCTCAAGCAGGGTGCCCTGCATGAGGGCGAATCCTGCCCACTTCAGCCTGGCTGGTGGGCAGATAAAGAGGAAGCTTGCCAGTTAGGTGAATGGGAAGGTACCCAAGATCAGAGGTGAGGAAGTGACTCTTTTGAGCTGGGATGATGTGAAGAAGATTTCTCCACTCTCCTCCTGGCCGAGTGGGGACCCATTCCTCCCTGGTAGGCAGTCCCTGATGCCTGGAGAGGTAGATTTCTCATACCCTGGGCAAGCTCAGGGGAGAGGTAGGGAAACCTCTTTCGCTGGCCCTTTGCTAAACCTTTGAGAGCCTGGCAAGGAGGGAACCGATCCGTTGCCTTCTGAGGATGCGCAGGGAGAACCCCCCTCGGGGGCTGCATCACACGGAACTCGTCATGGCAAAGCACCATTCAGCAGCCATGAGCCCCACAGACGATGGAGCTCCTCACAGTCGCTTTGGTTCCCTCCCTGCCGCCCTTCTCCTCGTGCTTCCTGGAAGCATCGCACGGGAAAAGGGAGGCTGCTCTCTTTGACACGCCGATTGTGGCTCACCGGGGAGTCCAAGGTTTCCCTGTGCAAAGAGGGCTCATGCCCTGGGGTGCAACAGGAAGGCTGGGCAGCTGCAGCAGGAAGGGGGTGTCTGATCCACGCTGCACCCCTGCCCCCCTCTTGGGGCAGCCTTGCGGAGTGGATCACCAGCTCCCAGCTCCTCCCTGTGAGGACTGCCCCACCCTCCCCGCTGCTGCCCGAATGGCTGGCTTTCAGGCACGAGCAGGGGGCAGTCAGCTGCACGGCACTGCCCTGTTTGGGGTACCAGCCCCAACCAATTGCCCCAAAGCCAGTGCCTGCCCAACTCGTGCCTGAGGGGCTTACTCTCGGGTAGCAGCGGGAGGGCATCAGTTCCTGCCCCAGAGAAGATCTCCCAGCCAGGAGGTGGGAGCAGCTGGAATGCCTCTGAAAGCCACACCAGTCTGGCTCGCCGCTGGGTTCAGACAACACAGCAAGTAACTGTGGCTTTCTATCATTCCTGGTCAGCCAGGGAGTTCTCCGGGGAACTGAATGAGGACTGGGAGGACCTGGAGGACCTGGCCTGGAGGCTGGACCAGCAGAAACTCAGTAGGAGAGGCTCTCGCCATGTGGTTGGCTTGAGCCCAAGCCAGCTAGGGATGGATGGATGGACGGATGGCTTTACAGGGCACCTGGTGGCCATGTCTGCCCCTGAACCTACTCAGGACCTGGTCTCACCACACACAGGGCCGCCTCTCTTCTTGTGTATAGCGGATGAAGCTGATGCCGGCTGGTGGGCACCACGGATGTTAGCGCAGGCCTATCACCGAGGAGGAGGGGGGCAGAAAGAGGGCTGTGGCTGGGGTGGAGCTCCTGATGGGGCAGTGGGTCCCTGCCTCATCCAGTCCCCTCTAGAAGGGTGAGTGGGGGCACCAGCGGTTCCTTCGAGGAGTGACTCTCCTGGATCCCTGCCTTGTGAGGGCTGCCACAAGAGCTTGGTTCTCTTGGAAGGGCTCTGAGCAGCTCCAGGATCCAAGCACTGCAGGATCCTGCCACAGAGTTGTGACTGCAATGACAGGGAACCTCCAGCGCTGCATGGCCGAGCCTTCGCTGACCAGGACTCTGCACAGGGTGGCTGGTGACACGTTGCACAAACAAGGAATTGCGTCACCAAAACAAAAAGGACAAAAGAAAACACCGATCTGGGTAAATTTTGCATATGTAAATGAATCTGTGCAGCTGCAGATTTATACCTGCAACTTAAATATTAAGATTTAGAAATTATAACTGCAACTTTAAACCTCATTTGCACTGGAAACCTCTTCAGATAGAAGACTGTCTCCTGCCAGGCCTCCAAAACAGAGGTCTGTTTTCTATAACGTAGGCCACCTGGCCACCCAGTGCCTGCAGCGGTGTTTGTGAAAGAAATGTGCACCTCACACTCAGACACACGCATGCACATCCTGTTGGTGATATTAATAGTCACATATTTTCCATTACATTTTTTTTTAAATTGCGATAGGCACAACAAAATCCTAAGCCAGAAAAGGCATGGGGCCAGCCATCACACTCACACCTGTGGCGCGTGTGGGTCAGGAATGAGATACATGCAGCCCATTAGAAACTTCACGTACATGGTATGCTCCTTCCATGAACCTGGTCCTAACTTCTGTTTGCTTCATCCAGGCCCCAGCAAACCAGCCCACTAGCTTGCTGAAGCTCTGGGCTGATGCGCTGGTTATGGTTAGAGCACTGTGCTGGGCCTCAGGAGACCCGGGTTCTAGTCCCCACCTGGCCACGGGTGGCTGGGCCAGTCAGGGAGCAGGTTCAGCCACCACAACGGCCCACTGTGGTAATGTTGGGTTGCCCTGAGGCGGCAAGAAGCCACGATGAGCCTGGCAAACGGTGGGACCCACTGTGGTTGCCCTCCTCTCTTGCCCCACCTCCTTCCCTCATTGCTCCAGGCGGTATCTCAGGAGACCCTGCCGGGAGGGAAGGGGCCCCCCACTGACAGCTGCGATGGCGTGTTGGCCACGTTTGATTGATTGATTGATTGATTGATTTATATCCTGCCTTTTTCCTACAAAGGGCTCAAGGCAGCTTACATCTCCCCCTCCATCTTATCCCCACAACAACAACCCGGTGAGGTAGGTTGGGCTGAGAGTCTGTGACTGGCCCAGAGTCACCCAGTTGGCTCCAGGGCTCAGCGGGGACTAAAACCCAGATCGTCTGAGTCCCAGTCCCATGCTCTTAACCACTACACCACACTGGCTCTCAGTGGTTTGGCCGCAAGCCGTCTCTGCCATACATCCAGGGCAGAGGAGTGGGGGAGCTGAGCACGTGCCCTTGCCTCCTGCTCCAGCTTGCCCGATCCAATCCCAGACAAGAGGGGGGTTGATCCGCCACTCTGGTCTGAAGGGCTTTCTCTTGAGCAGGACAAGGCTGGGCTATGAAGGACGCCCTCTTCTCAGCTTGCCCCTGCCTAGCCAGGCCCTGCTTCCCCACTTCTGCTGCAGAGAAAGCGGCTCAGGCTGGAGCAGGCAAGGGGACAGCTGGGCCGGGTGGACTTGCCAAGACAGCGCATCCCTACCTAGCCCAGGTTCTCCCTTCTCCATTCCTGCTTGAGCGTCTTTCTCCCTCTAGCTGGGGCGAGGAGGAGGAGGAGGAGAGGGCAGGCCCACCATCCTCTGGTCCCACTTGAAGGAAAGGCACTATGCTGGGGTGCGGGGGGGGGGGCAGGCTGGGGAGCTGAAATACCAGAACAGGTCTCAGAGGACACAACAGCAAAATGACAATTAAAAATACCAAACTGCATGCTTACCATGTCGTGCAAAGCCAGCCAATGGCTTG